CCTGCGGGTCGGTTAGTAGTTGTGGTAGTTGGTAGTTTGGATGGGTTTGGTGGTTTGAGGTCGTTTCCCTCCCCCTCGCGTCCTTCTGCCTGTCCGCTAGACTCTTCTAAGCTTCCTTGACCCCGGTTGCCGCAACACCCCCCTCCCTCTTCTCCCCACCCTTCCCCCCGCCTTCTCTTCCCACCAGCACAAACAAATACACAAACAAATACACACACTTAGCTTTCCACGCTTCCTCACGGCCACTTCTCCCAACCCCCCACTCCCACACTCCCCCGCAGAACACACAAGACCCAACCACCCATCCATCCAACCACACCCAACCCCTCCCCCCGACCTCTACCCCCACCCCCCACCCCCCACCTGGCAAACAGATCATCCAGCAGCTCCACCACATTTTGAAAGCTGTCCCGAAATATTCCGCTCATGTTGCACAACACGTCCACCCGGGGGCGACCCAGCTGGGACAGGGGGACAAGCTCGAACCTGGTGAGGGGGGCGGCCGGGGGGGGGTTGCGGGGGGGGGCCGGGCTTGGGTGAGTGGTGGTGCGTGTTGGTGAGTGGATTTTAGAAGGGTGGTGGGGAGGGGTTGGGTGTGATATGATACAAAGAATCTGAGCTGGAAAACGTATATGTATATATGTACATGTAGATGTATATATGTATGCATACATGTATATGTGCACGTATATGTATACGTGTATACATGTATTTGTGTTATGTAAAGATAGGGTTGGGAGGAAAAATGCACACATGGCAAACACACGTGTATGTTTATGTGCATGTGTGTATATGATGTGTGAAACAGGGGGGTGTATCTCCGCCCGTGGCAGCTACCCTGCGAAACCCTGCCTTCCCCGGCATTTCGGGGCACCCTCATCCAGTCACCCTAGTCAACTTCTCAGTGGATCGCTCAGGTTCCGCACCCACCACCAGCATCCAACGGAATCTGCGGGTCGACAGCGGCGCAACTCCATTCCTGGTCGGCTCGCAGGTTAACTTTATCCCAGGTCACCACCGTCCATCAACCAGGGGCGCAATGCCTTCCACCATCGGAAGGCCTTTGACCCTAACGGGTATCGATCCCGGGATCTCCCGGGGGCAATGGTCGCGCCTTACCAGTGCTGCCAAACCCTAAATAAATGTATATGTATATGTATGTATGTATGTGTGTGCGATTGCCGTCCTCAGTACCGGTGTCCTGCTAACCTGCATGCTCACCTAGCAACCCTGCCGGTACCCTCCCGTACAGGTACGGCACCCACCAGGGCCAGTACGATGGCCACACTCTCGCCCTGTGTGCGGGGTTTGGGGGGTTTGGGGGTTTGGGTGCGAGTGTGTCTTGTGTTTTGGGGGTCGGGGGATTGATTGGGGGGTTGCCGAGAGGGGAGTCCTTGGGGGTTTGTGAGCTGTACGGACGCCAGCGGCCATGGAAATGTGTGTGTGTGTGGGGGGGTTGCACTTTCACGTGACGTCTTAAAGCCAGCCGGGGAGAGTCAGGGGAGAGCTTGCGAGCCCGGCAACACACACGCACAAACACACGCACACGCACACGCACACGCACACGCACACACACACACACACACACACACACGCACGCACGCGCACGCGCACGCGCACGCGCACGCGCACGCGCACGCGCACGCACACGCGCACGCACACGCGCACGCACACGCACACGCGCAGAGACACGGTCTCGCACTTGGGGGCAATGAGTTGGAAGAGCCCCTCTTTCCCCCGCCCCCAACCCCGCCCCCTTTCCCTCCCGCCCTCTCCCCCCAATGGTCGTACTGCCGTACCTTGCTCTTGATGGAGTCCAGCCCCCACAAGTTGACCGCCACCGTCTCGGGCAGTGTCCCCCCGCTGGAGGCCTTATGTTGCTCCAGGATGGCAGCAGCCAGGGCCGACCCCCGAGTCATGGCGGCGGGGGAGGGCATACGGTACGGATCCAGGGCGTGGATGTTACGACCTGGCACGGCGGTATGGGCGTAGAAAAAGTGCGGAAAGGATAACTAGAAAAACATCGAGACCGAGGTTTCAGATTTCTGTGTGTGTATTTGTATATTATTGTGGGATTTGAAGGTTGGCGAGGTGGCCAGCTAGCTGGCCGGCTGGGTGAAGAGAGAGATGCAAATGCAAATGTGTAATTCCAGAAGCCACACGCGGCGGTATGGGTATGAGTGTGGGGGTAAGGAGTGAGGGGGATACGAGAACATACATACGTATGTATGTATGTATGGAGGGGGGAGGGGGAAGCTGATAATACCACACGCACCTGGCCACATGAATTGTCGCCCGAAGAGGGGGAAGGTGGGGGGAAGAGCCCAATAGGGGCCCCGGGGAGGGGGGTTTTCAGGGCAGTGGGGCGGCAAACGACGGCACGCAAGCGGCCAACTCCTCACATTTCCCCTCTCACCCACCCCACCCCAAGCCCCCCTCCCTCCCCCTCCCCCCTTCCCTCTTCCCTTCCCCCCAAAACACACACACACACACATCCCCCCCGCTACCTGTGGGAAGCACCCCCGTTCCATCCCGCAGCAGGTCCCCCCCCGCCTCGGGCAACACGTAGCCGCCGCCCAGCGCATGGAGGACACCAGCAAGCTCCTGAGAGAGGGGCGGGGAGGGCGCGAGGGGAGGGGGGAGGAAGACGAACCACGTAAACGAGTGAAGCTGCTGGAAAGGAAAGACTGCAGTGCGGCGGATGTGCAGGAAGCGGACAACTGACCAGTCGGCGGTTGTGAAGAAGCAGTCCTCCTCGGGAGGGGGGGAAAGGGGGGGAGCGTGGCCGGGGTTGGAGGCGAAACCCCAACAGTGTAAAACACAAAGAAGCAAATGTGTTTTGCGGGACTGGGGAGGGCGGAAGAAGAGCAGGAAGACGTGCAAGGTACATACATCCACACACACATTGCCCGTGAGTTTCACCCCATACCCCTCTTCAAGTGCACAAAAAGATGGATAGGCACAGATAAACACATTCACACACCCACACACACAACACCGCCACTAAGAACCACAGATAATCTACACAATGGCACGGTCACCGTACAAATATGTTTTTGCCGTCCGTACACAACCATACAAACTACCCAACGAACAACGAACAACGGACCTCAGTGTTCGCCAGCAGCAGGGACCGAATCTGGAGGGCTTCCTGCACATTCACATCCACAATCACATCCGTCCGGGGTGTGTGTGTGGAGGTAGTGGAAAGTGGCAATTGCAGTGGGAGGGAGGAGCACAACAACAAGGGCTAAGGCCCCTGCGCGAAAGTCGCCCAACACACAAAGTCCGCTCCACGGGAAGATGACAGTCGAAAGGCGGGAGGTGGGGGTTGGGGGTTGGGGATTAACTTGGGCCCATCCGAACCTCTGTACATACATCTGTCGCCTCCCAATTAATGCCGTACTACCTAACCTCTCATCTCCAACCGCCACTAACCTCTAACCGCTGGTTCAGCTCCTCGCGCGTGGGGGGTCGGAGGGGGGCGGGGTATTCCGTGTCCGATCTCGCTGTGGGGGCCGCTACGTCTTCGGACATCCCTCTCTTCGCGGGCGGCAGAGCGGGCTCGAAGGGTGAGCTGGCAGCCTGCATGCATGTATGTATGTATGTATGTATGTGTGAAACAGGGGGGTATATCGTCACCTTGTGGCCGCTACCCTGCGAAACCCTGCCTTCCCCGGTATTTCGGGGCACCCTCATCCAGTCACCCTAGCCTGCCGACTTCTCAGTGGATCGCTCAGGTTTAGCACCCACCACCGGCATGTATGTATGTCTGCATGTTTGTGTGCGCTTTCACCATGAATTGAGGAACACACACACACACGCATGTATGTATGTGTGCGAATGAAGAAAGGACTGCGCCACGTATCCGTGTGTGTCTGTCTGTGCGTTTGTGCGTCCGTCTGTCTGTCTGTTGTCTGTCTGTCTGTATTCAAGAGGAGAGGGACTCCAGTGCTGGCGTACACGACACACACATGTACATACATACATACATACATACATACATACATACATACATACATACATACATACATACATACATACATACATACATACATACATACATACATACATACATACATACATACATACATACATACATACATACATACATACATACGCACGCACCTCCTGCTCCCAAAGTCGTTCGAGTCGAGACCTCACCGCCGCGGCACCCTCCTCGCCGCGCTCTGTGCGGGAAGGGGAGGGAACGGGGGGATGCGAAGGAAAGGGGGCGAATGGGGGCACGGGGAAAGCGGGAAAATGCGGTACAAAACACACATACATGCGCACACGACACACACATACATACATGCACACACGAACCCAGGTAAAGTTGCTGGTGTGCCAATCCCTCGCCACTGCTACTCTCCCATGGACCTGTCCCACCGAAACACACACACATACATACACATACACACACATACATACACATACACACACATACATACACATACACACACATACATACACATACACACACATACATACACGTACACACACATACACACACATACACACACATGCACACACATGCACATCCGGCGGAAGATCTCTCTCGCCCCAGGATCCTCCTCCATCTTCACAGGGCTGACTCCCAGTCCCCAGCACTGATTCTATTTCCCCCATCCCCCATTTCCTCCGAGAGACACACACACACACACACACGCGCGCCCACCCGCCACCGCCTCCACCGCCGCCCTGGGTAATCCGGATCCAAAATAAGCTTCCAAATATTGGACGAGCTGCGGGGTCCCGGGTGGGGACCCCAGCACGTGAAGACCCTCGGAAAACAGCCGACCTTCAACAAGCTGTACGACATTGTACGGCGTTGTACGGCATCATACAGCATCACGATTGCGATTGGGGGTTAGGTGCACGGGGAAGGAGGTGCATGGGTTGGGGTTTGGGGGATGGCGGGGGGGTGGGGTGGGGCGGTGGGGGGTGGGGTGGGGCGGTGGGGGGTGGGGAGGGGCAATTATAAAGGGGGACTTCCAAGAAGATAAGATCTTGTAATCGCAAGAAAGATCGAAAAAACCTTTATCGAGGTCGTCACCCTGCCCTTCCACTCTTCCACTACTACAATCCGAGACCACACAAAGGTACGCAAGAGGTCCTTGCCGTACAAAACACGTCGTACAACAGTACGGATTCTTACCTGCAGGTAGGCGTACAGTTTGGAGGCGTACTGGTCAAAGGTCAAGGGCTCCAGAACGGGGTGCCGGGGCGCGGGTGTCGTACTTGCAGTCTCAACTGTCGTACCGGCTGTCTCCTCCACCTCAGCGGGGAGGGGCGACACCCGGCCCGTGGCGGGGTCCACGAAGGGGCAGTCGGCCTTCAAACACACACACACACACGCGCACGTGCACGTGTGCGTGTGTTTTGTGTCGGAGAACACCGTGGGATGGAAATGGGGAGGCCGGGACGGGGCGGAGCAAGGGAGGAGATACACAAGTCCGTCAATTTCAAGACGTGGTTGGACATACGGCTTACAAATTCCACATACACACACGCAGTCTCCCCCTACGGCATTCTCCCACCAACCCCGGACGACGCTGCCGTACAACACAGAAACCATCACCACCTCACACCAGCGCGTACCTCCAGCCCCGTCAGCCGCAGCTGGTCCAGGATAAGGCCCGCCTGAGTCGCCACCACCGGGGCCAACACCGCCGCCTCCTCAGCGGGCCCCGCGCCTCCTTCCAAGGACGATGATCCTTTTAGCTGCTGCCGTACTTGCTGTACGGCTTCACGGTACTCGTTAAGCTGGTCTCGGAGCGTGGCTAGCTGCTTGTACAGACCTAAAACAAAAACACAGTGTAAGGGGAGAAGAGAGGGGAAGAGATAAGGGGGGAGAGAGGGGGATATGGGAAATCCACACTACCTTTTTGTCCAACATCAAAATTTGCCCATGCTTTGCATCCTTCCCTCCCTATCCTCCTCCCCCCTTAAATTCCTTCCCCCAAACTCGATCCCCTTCCGAAACCCCACCAGCCGCCAACGATCAACCGCCAACCGCAAACGTCCTAGTCACATCCACGCAACCCTTTCCGCCCAGTCCTCCGCGCCCCCCGAAAACATTTCTCACCTGCCCTGCCGTACGGCGGTACGTTGTGCGACACAATTGTGCCGTACCCCCTTCTCTTGGCGATAATCGATTCGGAGGGGTTGTTGGCGGCATACACATACACGTTGGGCAGCTCCCCCAGCAACACATCGCTCCAGGAGAGGCCCGTGTTGCCCAGAGGTGCGCCAGGAAGCCATTCCACGGTGCCGTGCATGCCAAAATGCAGTACGACATCCGCGCCGTACTCCTGAAATGGAAGGCGGTTGATGGGACACATAATGTGGCCGGTGGCGTGTACGAAGATCGTGGAAGTTCAACGGTCCATACCACATGCACCTTTTTTCTTTACTAGAGCACCCCTCCCCGCCCTCCCGTCCCTCCCACCCGCCCCCCTCCCCTCCCCTCCCCTCCCCCCNCACACACNCACATATCCCCGTGCTCCCCCCCCCTTTCCCCTCCCCCTGTCAACCGCTTTCGTTCTCCTTTCCGCCCCTCAACCCTCACCCCTCATCCCTCCCGCCAACCCCCTCCCCTCATCCTTACATGTTGAATCCATTTGTAAAAGGCCGCATACTGGGGGTGAGGAGTGAGGTCCCGCTGGAACAGCAACCGCATGGGGTCGCCCTCAATGCCCAGCGGCGGCTGCACTCCGATCCACACTGACCCAAGGGTCAGTCCGGGAACCTGGTAGGATCCACGAGCTGAGGTGTTCAAGCCCCTGCGGAAAGAAAACAAGGAGGCGGCCGGAAAACCAAATTATGAGAAAGAATAACTAGTATCAAGTAAATATTCATATAAATATTAAATAACATAATAATATGTATTAATATGATTACCATTTTTTATTTTTTTATAATCATAATTTTAAATTTATATAGTAATACTAAATATTAATAGTTTATTATAGTTGTTAATAATATTATCTTGATGATGATTTTTGACCCGAGAAGAAGCTAATGTCAACTGTGGACGTGTTCAAAACACCTACCGTTCAGAAATTTCCCTTCCCCCAACCAAAAACCCACCAAACCGTCGTTCTCTACCTGTAAGTCCGCAGCTCGCCCCACTGCCGTTCCATCCGCTCCACCAGTACGTCATTATCCGGCAAGTACGGCATAGGGCCCCATTCGGTTGGACCCCACTCGGGCGGGTAGGTGAGCAGCTCCTGGAGGCAGCATGTTTCATCGTGTACGGCACATGTGTACGGATACTGGACGAGTGGTAAATAAAATGAAGGCATGGAGAATCTCTGGCATGGCGACGTTTTGGCTCGTTGGTGTATGTTTTTACGTATGTATGTATGTATGTCGATTTGGGCCAAAAATGGCCCGGTACTCTTGCCGTTTCCTCGGACCCATCTCAGACCCCGAAACCCACACCGGCCCACTCTCATCACAAACGCAAACACAGTTACACGCACACGCACAGGGTAACCCCCACGTTTCAAAACCATACAACCACAGACATACGCACGCACGCACCTTCAACTTGGCCGGAGTCATCTCCCCGGCCCCCACCTTGACTCCGAAGGCCGCCGCAGGTCCCGCACCCAATGATGCCATGCCTAGTTAGGCAACGTGACAGCATGGCACAGCAGGGGGGGAAGAAAGAGGAAAATGTGAGGGCACACGCACGCACGGACGTGTCTGTGTGTGTGTGTGTGTGTGTATTAACTACAAAAGTCATGCTGCTGAGCCGCATAGGAGAGGGAACGGGTGGAAATGCGAATGGGCGACCCAAACCCACAACCCCGAAACACTACCTTCCCCCCATCCATATGCATTTTGTTACACCGCCCCCTTTTCCCCGTCTCTCCCCCCCTTCCCCGTCTCCCCCCCCCTTCCCCCTCTTAACCCCCCTTCCCCCTCTTCCCCTTCAAAACCCACCCACCCGCCACGCCCTTCAGCACGCATCTCTGGTCCTCCTGCATCTTCAGAGCAGCCACCACCGCCTCCCCAAGCCCTGAAAGGTCCTGTCTCGTATGGTGTGTGTGTGTATTTGTGTGTTTGTGCGTGATGGGGTCGGGGGGGAGCCAAGTGAAAAGTGTCGAAAAAGGTGGAGGTAAGGATAGGGGGGTAATCGTACGAAACATGCTAAAACCAAGTCAACCGCGTATAAAGGCTTGAAGCAACCCGACCCGACCTCCCGGGGGGGGCCCGGGGTGCACCCCCGGCTGGTTCATGAGCCTCGAAGTTGCGTCAACCCAATTCGTGTGTTGTGTAGTAACGGAGGGAGGAGAGGGTTGGAGGACGAAAAAGGAGAAGTAAATGTTTTTTCCCAGGGGGGAAAGGGCAGTGGAGAGGGTTGGGGAAGAATGTGGACATGCATTTCGGCACATAAATACAGAAAATTACACAAAAATACACAACACGACGAATTCAGGTGCCGGGCCTTCCTCAACTCGTCACCATCATTCATACGGATGGTAATTATTTCCTGAGACCTCACACCCACTACCCAGCTACAGTAGTGACGGGAAGATACAACATGGCACAGTACGGAAATGCGTACTGCGTTATGTCGTACTCACCTCCGGTACGTCAGGTCCCAGGTCGTATCCAGCTTTTCGCAGCGACCCCAGGAGGGCCTTGTGTACCGATATAGTGATGTCATGAGCCAAGTCCAGGTGTGAGATATACACACACAGGCGGGAAAGGGCGGGGGAGGGGGCCGGATACGAGAACGTCATGCCGAGTACGGCAGGAAAGAGAATTGATCTTTTCCACTAGAAATCACTTTAAGACTAAAGAGCTGAAATTAACATTTGAAATTTACTTGAAAGGTCAACTAATATTAACTCCGTCGATGAGACACGAGAGGAGCTCCGTGTGAAAAACCCTCCCCCCTCCGACACCCCCGGGATATCTCCCCTTTCCCCCATCCCCCATCCTCTTCTTCCCTTCTCCCCCAACAATCACCCCAGCACCCCGCTCACTTCCAGGCTCTTGGGCACGTTAAGAAGTGCTGCCGTACCCGTGGCTCCCACCCCAGGCGGGAAGCCGTACAGCAGTACGGCAACTTTACGCTCTGCAGGGGCCTTACGCCGCAGCCGTACCCAGGCCTGCAACCTTCCCGCCATTTTCTTCACACGCTCCGGAACCAGGTAAATGTTGTCCCCCACCAGCCCGCCGAGGGGAACGGTGTCGATGGCGCCATCCAGCTCGGGAAGGGAGTACAGTACGACAGATTGAAGGCCTTATATTGGCGTGGGGTGAGGAGGGGGTTATGGAGATATTTGGGTTTAGGTGGGCAGGGACAAGTAAAAGGCAAAACGGATCAAAAGGTTTTGGCAACGACTGTACGACACCAAGGACAGCGACGAATTGCACGTAACTTAAGCCACTTCCCAACCATAACTAATCCAACCACTCAACCGCCAACGGACACGTTCATCCCCCACCCCACATTGTACACTCTTTCCCTGGCAGCAGCTTCACTCGTTCGTGGTTCGTCTTCCCCCCCCCCCGGCACCCCCTCCCTCTCACCCGCAATGCCGTCCCGGCTCCAGCTCTCCATGTCCTGAATAAGCAACGGAGCCGCCACCACGTACGGCACATCCTTGGCGGCCAAAATGGCCTGCCGGGGGTTGGGGGGTTGGGGGTGGGCGGGGTTCTGGTAGCGGGGTACGGAAAAGGTAACGGGGTAAGACACCCCAGCACCCTTGCCCCTTGTCACGCCTTGCCTTCCTCATCTCACACATAAATACACACATACATGTACACACACGCATATACGTATACATGTACATTTATATTTACACACACGTACATACACACAGACGTACATACACACACGCCACGGTGTCATTACCCCCGGAACCCACCTTGGCCACCTCTGCCTGTCTGCCGCCCTCCATAGTTCCCGCGGGACCCCCCACCAGCGGGAAACCAATGGTGCTCACAACAGCATCCACCTGCGTACGACACAGTATGTCGTACAAAGTGCGGCGCAAGTACGACAACGGCAGTCCGGAAGAAGCTGATCTGATTATGAGCTGCGCCAAACCGCATCTGTATGTATATCTCACCCACCTTGACCGCGTCCCGCTTCAAAGTGGGGCTTATGGTCCCCGTAAGGCCCCGAGCGAGCAGGGACTGAAATTAATTTTCCGGTGGAGACGGGGTGTGTGTATACACAGGAGGGAAATGCCGGGGTGAGGGGGCGACAAGGGGGAAGGCAGGGGAGAGAAGGGGGGATTGTTTTAGGAAGGGGGCTTGAGGGGGGTATTACGCAATACACACAGCCACAATTCAGGAACAAGAACTGCCAAAGGAGTTGTTGTGACGATGCTTCTATGCCGCAATGACACATGTACGACGACATGTACGACAGTGTGGCTCAAAAAGAGCTCATCCGCCTGCTTCCCCCTCCCTTACCCCAGCCTCCCCCCAATCGCCCATCCCCCACTTACCCCCGTAACCCCCCTCCCCGGTATCCGCTTCGTTCGCCAGTAGTTCTTCTTACCCCCCCTAACCCCCCTAACGACCACCCACCTGTTCGTGATCGCTTGTGAGTAGGTCACGAACCTGTACGACAAGGACGAGCAACCGCCATTAGGACGAGCAAGCAGACAAGATGCGGATGACACAAAAGTTGACAGGAGGCTTTCCTTATAAGTTTGTCCCTCTTTAACACGTACCCAAATTCCCGCCGGCCGCCCCCAAATGCTGTACCTTACGTGGCCTTCCATTCCCGAGGTCGTACTGTACGGGAAGTCCTTGCATTACGGCCCTAAACCCTAAAACCCTAAACTTTTACCCCCCAAATCCCTCCCCACCACTGTGTGGGCTTCCACTCCGTTGATGAATACGGGCAGCGGCAACAAACCCTCCGCTTCCAACTGCAAAATCAGCTGCCCAATGTACGGCTGCTCCGTAATCACGTGCTTGCGGTATAAAAGTACGGCAACCACGGGCGCGCCGGTGCCACGCAGCGGCCCCGCCTTTTCGTACCACCGCATGTACTCGGCAGGCGATGTGAAGTAACCGTTGTCGTACAGGGGGTGTAGGCACCCCAGCGCGGGGGTTTCCCGAATGGGAGGCGGGACGTAACCTGCTCGGCCCCAGGGGAGGGGAGGGGGGGGGAAAGACGAACCACGAACGAGTGAAGCTGCTGCCAAGGAGGGGGGAATGACGAACCACGAACGAGTGAAGCTGCTGCCAAGGAAAGAGTGTACAAGGAGCAGAACTGACCAGTAGGCGGTTTTGAAGTGTGCGTGTGTGTGTGTGGAGGGGGGAAGTGAGGGGGGGAGAAAACCCAAAGCATGCCCCTAGTGTAGGTGGATGCCAATCATCATTGGATTTTGATACTGATTCAAAAGTCTAACGGTCAACGGCTGACGTACAGAGCGCGTAGGGTGAAGGGAGGTTGAGTCAAGAGGAAGGCCCGCTCCCCCCTCCATTCCCCTCCCCTCCATTATCTCCCCGTCCTCCCCCCGCTAACTACGCAAACTCACCCGTGCGCTCAAACAACGTTTCCACGAGGTACGAGAACATGGCCACCACATTGGACGAGCCTCCCTTTGGTTTATTGGTTGGTTGGTTAGTTGGTCGGTTGGTTGGTTGATTGGTTGGGAGGTCCACGTGGAAAGAGAGGAAAGGGGAGGGTGGGAGGGTTTCAGGATTTCCGCGGCCACCTCTGCCAGCTCTCGGCCCCTGTTGTATCACGTCTATTTCAGAAAAGAACCAATCGGCGGATGTCAGACTCCGTGATACCCGGGATACTATAGCCCCCTGCTGCCGGCCCCTCTGCCCTGCCCTGCCCTGCCCTGGCTCTTCCTCCCCACACGCACACCTGGTTCCAGTATGCGTATGCGGTCAGCCAGGTCCTCAAATCCGCCACCTTCTTGCCGGGGAGCCATTTGAGTAGCTGGGGACCCAACTTGAGGAAGGAAAGGTAGCCCACCTGCGCGTGCATGCGTGTATGTATGTATGTATGTATGTATGTATGTATGTATGTATGTATGTATGTATGTATGTATGTATGTATGTATGTATGTATGTATGTATGTATATATGACTTAGATTACACTGTGGGCCGCAAGAGCCGGGGGCCGAAGCCGAAACACAGCGCAAGGGTCGGGAGCACACAGCACACGTCGGTTAGTCTTGTGTGCTCCCGACCCCAACTCAGACTGCCAACACTCTACGCAGCCACTCTGCAGCCCCTCCATCCGGGGATGGCGCTGCAGTGACACACATATATACACATATATGTATATATATGTATATATATACATATATATATGCGAATGTGTGCATGTGTGTGTTGTTGTTGTTGGGGCAGGATGACATGTCCAATACACACACATTATGGAGCTTGCTTCGGTACATGGAATTACTCTTATGCACCGCTCCATCCCTCCACCGCCATTCTCGTCTCGCAGCTCAGGTCAACAGTAAAAACACCCACCACACACACACACACTCTTCCCAATCCCGCGGGCTCTCCCCTCCTCCCCCCCCCCAAAAAAGCACACACAGCCCTCCAGGGGCCCCCTCGCTCACCATCTTGTCCTCCTCCCTCCCGCTCCCAAACATGGACAACACTTTCTTCACCGCCGGGGGGGGTCCGGGGGACTTAGCGGGGCTCGAGGAACCTCCTCCCCCTCCGCCACCCGCCATTTGAAAGGTCCCAACCTGCGTGGGTGTGCGTGTGTTTTGAGTGTGCGTGTGCGTGTGTTTTGAGTGTGCGTGTGTTTTGAGTGTGCGTGTGCGTGTGTTTTGAGTGTGCGTGTGTTTTGAGTGTGCGTGTGTTTTGAGTGTGCGTGTGTTTTGAGTGTGCGTGTGTTTTGAGTGTGCGTGTGCGTGTGTTTTGAGTGTGCGTGTGTTTTGAGTGTGCGTGTGCGTGTGTTTTGAGTGTGCCACGGATGGGGGAAAGAGAAAAAAGAGACATTAGGGAGGAGCCCACTCTTCATTGCACTGTTCAGCAATGTACGATACAGGAGGTCAGCACACCGGGGCAGTAGCAGCAATAGCAGTAGCAGCACCAAAAGCAATAGTAGCAGCAAACGTAGCAGCAGCATTAGCTGTAGCAGCAGTAGCAGCGACTGCAGTAGCAGTCAGCAATAGCAGTAGCAATGGATGTGGCACGAACGAGGTTTCCAGACACGCCTAGATATACGTTTTACCTTGTTGTACGACATGAGCTCCAAAGCCGATTCGAACACCAGCCGTACAGGCACCTGCTCCACGTGCTTCCGAAGCCACTCCACCTGGAACGTTCGGAGTGCATCCACGTACGTCATAATCGTACCTTGTACGGCAGCGCACTAAAATGGCAAGAAGTACATACATTCAAAAACCAAGTACAAGCACATACCCCTTCCCAACACTTCCCTACTCACGGCTCTTTCATTAACATAAACACATAAACACACAAACACAAACATACGAACATAAACACACAAACACACACACACGCGTCCACCCGTATTTTCCCGCCCCCCCTACCCATACCTGGTCATAGTCGAACAACAGGGACCCAAAAAACACGTCAGCTCGAGCCAGTGCTGCCGCCACGCGGGGCCGGCTGGTTTCGGAGGCAATGTCCCGATCACTGAAAACCTACAGGTGACAGCAGCAGTAACAGCAAATACAGCAACAGCAGCAGTCGCAGCAGTAGCGAGTAACAGCAACAGTAGCAGCAGTAGCAGCAGCAGCAGCAGCAATAGCACCCCCGCCCGCCCCGCGTGCTGTGTTTCACACCTCGCTCCTTCCCCCTACACAACCCGGGGCTTTCTTTCAACCCACAGCGCAGCAGCAATAACAACAACAACAGCTGACACTCACTGTCGTACATTTGACCCCCCACCACCTGGAGCGTCACATTGGGCATCTGCCTCTTCAGCGCCGCCGCCGCCTCCTTGTACAGCCCGACGTTGAAGCTCTCGAAGCCGCTGACCAGCACCAGACGGATTTCTCTGCTCCTGGGACCGCCAGCGCCGCCGCCACCCGAACTCACTGTCGCTGACGTCACCGCGCCATGGCTGCCGGCCGGCGCCAGCGGCACCGCCATGCCGCGGCCGGCGGAGGCGGCGCCGCCGGCGCCGCCGCCAGCAGTAGCAGCTGCGGCGGCATGCCTTGCCTCCGCCCTTTCCGCCGCCAGCAGCGCCGCCGTCACCTCCTCGGCCTCGCGAAGGATCCGGCTGCGCTGCATCTTCAGGGTGGTGGCCTGAAGGGGTGGTTGGAGAAGAGAAAATGTACGTGTTTGGGGTGTTTAACTAAAAGAAGAGCTTGCATCTGTCTGTCTGTCTATCTGTCTGTCTGTATCACTTACTTCCCCCTGCTGTCCTATCCCCTCCCCGCCATGCACGCGACCGTCAACGCCAAGTACAAGCAACGCATCAAGTACAAGCATACCCCCTCGCAACCGCCAACTTCATTGCCCCTCTGCATCATCCACTCCATACTTCGACGTAGGCAACCCTTCTTCTTCGCCGCCCCTGCTCACCGCCACCCACCGCCACCCTCCCTAAAGACATTGACGGCGACGAGAGAGACAACCTGGAAGACCACTTCCGACAACCTGAACATGACTTTGACGTCGTTGGAGACGTCATTGGTGACGTCATTGTTGACGTCATTTTTTGTCAGCATCCCCGTACGACCCCGCCGGACCACACCGTACGGAACCTGCCCCCACCTGGGACTGAAACGCCCGCCACGCCTCCAGCCCCGCCGCTGCCTCCGCCGCCGCCATCAGTGCCGCTGCCACCGGCGGCCGCGACCGACCCAACTCGCTGAACCGCGGCTCGCTCATGCTGTCGTAACGCAACGTCTCCAGGCGCGGGGTCGGTGGCGGCGGTGGCGGCGGCGGCGGAGCCGCCGCCAGCTCGGGGGCAACAACGCCCTGCTGCTCGTCCTGCTGTTCGTCCTCAGTGTACGGCACCTGCACCTCTAGTCCTCGGAACATCTTGTCGTACAGTGTATCGATGGAAGCGGACAGCCGGGACTCCTGAGCCAGCGGGGGAAGTGGGAAATCATGTGATGCTGCTGCTGCTGATAATGATGCTGCTGATGATGATAATGCTGATGATGTTGATGGTGTACGTACGTACATGCATACATACATACACTCGCACCTACTCGCACCGATGTGGCCCTACTAACATCGCCAAGGCTTCGGCGTGTCTCGCCTCCAGCTGCTGCGTTTTACTTTTGGTAGAGGACTAAGGTTTTGTGTGGTGTTTGATGCTTTTTCATATCAGCAACAGGGCAGAGAAGACCAACGCGGAATTTTAGAGGGCTTGGACGTGAAGGTTGGAGTCTTGGTTCAGATTAGCGCAGGTTAGCATGGCAGAGGATGTCGAGCGGTCCATGGGTTCGAGACGGAGCGACTGCCACGGTTATGTCGCAACAGACCGCGACATACCTCGGCCTTCAGTGCATCCAGCTGCGTCTGCAACTGCGCCTGGTGGTCAGCGTCCCAGGCGTCCTCTTCATCGGCATCCATGCCATCCGTTCCACCAACATCCAAGCTTGCCACGAACCGCTCCGCTTCGCTTTGGAGGTCCCGGCTTGCTATGTAAACTCGTAAGCGCTGGCGTTGAGGTAGAAAAGTGTCGCGCAGCTGGGTTCGTGCGCTGGTGCTGGGGACAGCCGTTAAGCGTGGAACAAGCTGCCGATCTAGCGCAATAGGCGCTCGGTAAAGTGATTGCGCTCCACTTACAGCGGGGCGCTTCAATGACGCTGTTTTATGTATAGAATCCATCGTGCTGGACACAAAATACTTGCACAGTCCCAAATTGTAATGCGGTAACAACACAAATTATCATTAATCTTCGGACAGCGCGTAATATACAAAACATAATGGTTGCACCCGCGATTGCTATGAACCACTCGAGAAACCTCGGGCTTCGGAGCCCGATAGGTTATTCACAAACTTTGGATGACTACTCAGATATCAATGCAATTCTTACAAATCTAATCAGCCTTTTGAAAGGAGGACTTGTAATTGCTGGTGATCCGTACTTATCCTGGCTTTTGACTTTTCCTTGGCATATGGTTTGACCCGACTTTTCCAAATCCAGTAAACGACCCAAAGTAGGTTATAATTGGCGTCCCTTACAGAGCCAGATATGATTTCCTTGTGTCTATAGTTACTGGCACAGCTGCTTCACTACTTCGGTCGAGTCGTCGAGCCGGCGACGGTTAGATGTACCGGCCGTACGCGGCTTGCGCGTCGCACGCGGATGCGCCTAGAGGCTATAGGCGTGTGGCCAGCTTCCAATACGCGTGTCTCTCCGCGTGTCTCCCGAAATGGGTTAGATGCCAAAAATAGGTCGGGTCTAGACGACCGGCGAGATCTACACCAAATTGAAACGCGCAAACAGACACACAGTTACACAAAACCATGGTCAAGCCATGTACACAGCCCTCCGCAGCAGTCGTTCTGCAGCTCTTGCGATGTAAAACTGCGCGTCCTGTCGTAGCATAGCTCGCGCCTGCTACGACTCGCTTAATAAGTTCACTTGATGGTGGTAATTAGCGGCTGATTCAGAACTAACCCATTTATTGCTCCGTTATACGTTTCGTGCTGTTGTCTAACATTTCGGGACGCTGACAGCCCTCAGCCCTCAACCGGTCCATAGACACCACCACAACCACCGCAACCACCACAACATCAACTACCATAACAGCTGCCTCAGCCTCCGCCAGTTCCAACAGCTCCTTGTTGTGCCCGCGTAGCAAGGCACCCTGCTGGCTCCGAAACCACATCAAAAAAAAGTACACATCTCACATCCTGCCGCGCTGCCACGTCCATTATAACATGCAGTATCGTGAGAATCCCCCCCATTACATAAATATCATTAGTATTTATATATAGCTATGTATTTATTACCTAGTGTATTTACTGCGTTGATTAATATCACGTACGCACCATGTACCGCGCTGTGCCGTAAACCTCCTACCCCAAATTCCCCAAGTGCTACTGCTGCTACAGCTTCTGCCGGCATCTCCTCCACCTCCAACCCCCCCTCCTGCGGCCCCAACCAACCCAACCACCTGTCAACGGCACGTCCACCAGCACGACCCCAGCCAGCCGCCGAACCAGTCAGAAGAAAAGCGCACCGTACGGCCGTACACCACCACCACGACCACCACCCCAAACTGACATGGCGGCGGCGACGCCTCCGCTGACAGCGAGCAAGAGCCAGCTGTTGACCTTGGCGCTGCCACCGCCGCCGCCGTCACCGCCGCCGCCGCTGCTGCTTCCCTGGAGTTGCCACTCGGGGTTTGTGAGAGCGTCTCTAAGCAGCCCCATTTCGGAGGCGAGGGGATCCAAGGTGAAGGTCCCAGCGGCGGCGGCAGCAGTGTCGCATGCCGTACGGGTGGTGGTGGCGGCGTTGCAGTGAGCGGCGGCGTCGAAGAAGGATCTCACCCAGGCCTGTCAACATAATATACATATATATACATACATACATAAATACATACGTGCAATAAGGGGGGGGGTAGAGATGGAAGGAAGAGGATGAGAGAAGGAGAAAGGGGGGAAGGGGAGGGGGGTAGAGGCGGAAGGGTGGCGGGAGGCCTTGTGGCGTTGTGAGGAGCTGCGGAGAGGAATGAATGAATGGGTGAATGGGTAGATGGATGGATGGATGAATGGATGGATGGTTGGATGGGTGGATGGATGGATGAATGGATGGATGGATGGATGGATGGGTGGATGGATGGATGGATGGATGGATGGATGAATGGATGGATGGATGGATGGATGGATGGATGGATGGATGGATGGATGAATGGGTGAATGGGTAGATGGATGGATGGGTGGATGGATGGATGGATGGATGGATGGATGAATGGATGGATGGATGGATGGATGGATGGGTGGATGGATGGATGAATGGATGGATGGATGGATGAATGGATGGATGGGTGGATGGATGGATGGATGGATGGATGGATGAATGGATGGATGGATGAATGGATGGATGGATGGATGAATGGATGGATGGATGAATGGATGGATGAATACGGGAGATTGGAAGTAGGTGATCATGGTTTGTAGGTGCTGTAGGTAGGGGACCTGGGGCCTCGGAGGAGGGGGAGGAGGGGGGGAATGCTGCGCGATTCGATCAGAAGTGGGTTGGGGCGGGGTGGGCAAGACGATAGAAAACACCTAGAAAGAGGGAAAGAGAGAGGAGATACACAGATATGTACGTATGTATGTGTACATCTAAACATATCTATGTACGTATGTATACAAGTATATATGTACATATGCATAGATATGTATACATACGTACATATACACACACTGTGTAACGCACATACACCAAACGCACCCTGCGCACAACATAATTGAGATCCTTAATGGATCATCAACACCATGTAAACTTACGTCGTTCATGTCGTACAGTGCATCATTCAACATGTCGTACCCAGGCTCGCACGTGCCGCTGTCAGCATCCCAGCGACAACCCGCAATGTACGAGCAGGCGGACTGTCGGGAGTCGTCAGCGGCTGTAGCGACGGCAGTAGCACATGTGGCTGTAGCAGCCGCCAGCGCCTTGATCAGCCAATCCGTACCATTGCACGTGCCCAGAAGGTCCCGCTGTAACATGCCGTACTACACAACCATTCAGTCGTAATGTACGTCGGGTTTCGGATTTCAAATCCGATTGGGATCCCGGGGTGGGGGTGGGGGCAAGTAAAGGACCGTGCACAAGCCGTGACAATACTGCGCATTTCAAAATTACAGATTGTGAAATTTGGCGGGACAGCCACATCTTATTATAGCAGTTGTAGAACTGATGTTCGTTTGCAGTTGCAGCAGCAAAACCTGGATCAGTACAGCAACAGCAGTAGCAGTACAACAGCAGTACAGGTAGCGGCCATCTCCCCATCCGCCAGGCTATCGGGTGTCATACTACCCATCAAGTGACTGCCCCCCCCCCTTCTCCAGTCCGTTTTCCCCTCCGCCCCCTCCGCGTCCCTACCTCGGGGTTCGCAGCCGCTGCGCGCTGGAGGCCATCCAGGACGTCGCTTCGCTGCAGCCAGGCAGCCGCACAAACACCGTCATCATCGCTGCCGCCGGGCTCGGTGTACGTCACAAGGCCCACCAGGCGAAGGTAGCCTTGCCGTACTGACGCCGTCGTACTGCTTAATCCCAGTTGAGTGGATGAGGAGTTGAGGAAGACGCAGCCGCCGACGGCGACACCGTTGCCGCCGTCGCCACCCGCCACGGTCGACGCCGTCGATGCCGCTACCGATGCTGCTGACGCCGCCGTACAGCCGGCGGCGCCTGGCGCCGCCAGGGCACAGCGAGCGGCGGTATCCATTAATGATCCTGTGCAGTAGAGACGCCCTCGAAGAACCTGCGTAACAGAACGTACGGAAACAGTATAACCAAGCTACGTGCCGTACATCGTACATCGCCCATGTAACACCACCGCGCGGCATTGCAACATGAATACGACATAGAAAATAAAGTAATTTCTAGCCCACCGCATTCTGAGACAGGACTAGAATTTTATGCGGCTCCCATCCTCCGTACACTACTGCCTGTCGTACCTCGGGGTCAAAGGCCGCGCTGTAAGATAGATAGCACTGGCCGCCGCCGCTGCCTGCCGCACTATCCCAGGCGCACGCGTCGGCGGGGTTGGCGAAGCAGTACGACGTCGTACTGTACGACGCGCACACGTGGGACTTGTATAGCATGTGCGCGAGGACTCTGCACGTGGGGGGGTCCATGACATTTGTTGTTTGACTGAGGATATGTGGGGTGGTGAGGACAATGTGGCGAGAGCTGAGATTGTATATGCGGCGGGGACCAGGCTAAGTTGTTGGATGCTTGACTCTGCTCTGTCTTAGACAATCGGTTTTTGCACGAAGTATTAAGGTCGACAAGTTTCGTGAGGTCGACGAGTTTCGTGTTTAAACGCGTGGAAAGTGATTTCCTGATGGGATGAAACAACTTCCGCGGCTCCATACTCTGCATCCCACGCTGCAGCAGGCAATGATACGCGCTCCCAAGCCGATGGTTTCGGTGCGGCCTGGCCCGGTCCGATGCAAGGATACGGCACGCGGTCCAGAATTATTGAGCTGTTTGTTGCTCTATATAATCCTTTTAGCGTCTCAAACATGGTCAGATGGCTTATGCGGGCAAGACCCGTTTCTCCGCTACTACCGTAAAGCATAGCCAGCTTTGTTTGATATAAGGAAACAGCTTAACTCAAATTGGGCGCTCGCTTACCTAGCACTGACGCTTGGCGGAGTGCCCCGCATGGTCAAAAAGAAAAGGTCGTTTACATCACATGTTCCGCCACTATTGCCGTTGCTTGATGAGGACGACCATATGCACTTGGGCTGCGTGCTGGTAGCGAGCAGTGAACGTTCAGCTGCCATGACTTGACGCCCCAAACCGTGAAGCGCCCGTCTTAATTGCGCGTTCTGTTGCGCACATGTTGCGTCGGCAAGATTAGAAACAGCATAAAGAACTGGTGTAAGCGAGAGAAGCAAGCCTAACAAAGGTGACATGGGTACCGTCAGCTTAACTTCCGCATCCACATAATAATATGCTTGCTCTCAGCGCAACATTTGCTGTCATTATGTCAAGGAGACAAAGCAGCGCGAGGTCAACCACTGCAGTGAGGTCAACCACTGCAGTGTCTTGTCCATAAGCGTAGTATAACGGTACGGCAATGAAGCTGAGAACCTCTGCAACGCGCACCTGGAACTTGGGCAGAAAACTGCAACATGCTTCTGCAGGATTTAGAAAGCGCAGTTTTTCCTGGTATTCATAATTCATTCAACTTGCTTTTAAGCTTAAAAGCAGGGAATGACCTTGACTCAAAGCAAGCCCTTGCAAACCAAATAAGCTAAAGTTATAGCTAACGGCCATTCAACCTGCAAGCATGTGAGCGGTTTACAACACCACAACTTGTTCTGAGACCCGCCTGAGCACCCACCATCAGCATGAATAATGGTTACGGGTAAGTGGTGCTATATATCTTCTGGAGACGAGCTCCGTTCTGAAATGAACCATTTTTGTCAACACGACAAAGCGCAGATTTAAAATCCCAGAAACTTACTGCATGCGCACGATTTTACGTGTACAGCCGTACCTTGCAAAAGCTTTCTGTACCAGATGTGCACATTTTGCATCCTGCAGCGATAACATTGGGGCCGTTATCTATCCAGCCGGTTCCGTTTTCACTTTCCAAGATTAAAACCTGAAAAGCAGCATGCACGAGGGCATGCGTGAGTGGCTGCCCAATCACATCATTCCGTATCATGTCAACTAATAGAAAAAACAGCATTACAAGCATTACCGTGTCTTGAACAGTCCGTTCTGGGGACGGCCCTCCAACACTGTAACACTCGTTTCTTTTCCCCCACATTCTTTCCCACCAAAAGCCCTTGCGACTCTTATCCACGATGCCGGGGGATCGAAAAGCTACTATATGATGCTGATTCTCTTCCCGTCAAAGTCCTTATTATATCGCAAGCACCTTACCGAGTGGATCCATGAAGGTCATTAGATGGACCACGCCAAGCTAGGCGGAAATTTATTGAGTTGGAAGAGACACCGTTTGCTTATATGCTGAGAATGGCTGAGAACGGCTGCAACGGCAATATTAGCATTGCTTTTCTGACTCCCCACATGGATATCCGCCAAGGGGCGCACAGTTAACCGTTATTAGGAAAACAGGAGGGCAGAGAAGTCATCTCAACAACGGAATTTGTGTTGCCCTTTTGTCCTGAACAAACAGCAGACTGCCCAGCTTGTTCTGAACAATTTTACGTCATCATCAAGCAAGGTGTATGTAGACCAACAGGGAAATATTGGGAGGTCAACCGCTCGCGTAAGCAGCTCATAGGCCGGGCATTCCATTTGCACGCGAAATTCTTCTCCTACAAGCCTGCGGCAGGCTCCGCAATCTCGTATGTTGGTATCAAGTTTGCGTTGCCGTACTGCGTCTTTGTCAAGAGCAGCTGTATCAACACGATCTATCGCAACGTCGTTATGCGCAATCTAAGCCATCGGAAATGCAGTCAGCGAAGCAACGCCGGATTGTGTGCCGCTGCCAGCCGCAGCGCACACTTTACAGCTGTTCCGTCGAAAACATATCGCGCAGCGTAATCGACTCTAACACAGTAACGAGCGCTTACATGCGCACAATACCTGTAGACAGAACTATCAGTTGCAACTTGAGAACATGGTCACGCTTACCTTCTAATCACTCTTTTTCTCCGTTATTGAAATTACTGTACGGCAATCCTGCCGTAATTGCCGTTCATGTCGTGTTGACCGAGTCATAGGTGTATGCGTTTCTTGACGGTGTAGGTGGGAGAACAAGTGCAAGTCGTTTATTGAATGCTACTTCATCGGCCGTAAATCTACTTTAATTTACAGCACTGTAATAGCTGTCGACCGAGTATTCTAAATTTTGAAGATGTCGGAGTCATCCGAATCCGGTTACGATGAAGAGGAAGGATCCATCAGCGTGTAAGTTCGTTTGTGCAGCATCAAGACAAAGCACTTTGGAGTTTGGTTTCCACTGGAATGGCGGAATAATGGCAGGATTTAGCTGTATAGCTTTACTCTTATGTGTCTTCATGGTTATGTGGTCCTGCCATAGATTTGCATGCCAACTTCTTTTGGCGGCAATCGACAACGAGTGATTGGGGCTAGACTAGCGAACCGACCTCAAATAATGCCACTTTCTCACAAAACGTTTCTCTTTGATGTTTTTCTGATAGGGCTTTGCATAACGCGGCGGAGACAGGAGACGTCCACACTCTCGAGCGGCTGCTCGGCTTGTCGGAGGAGGCGGGCGTGGTGAGCAAGGCCTGGCCAACAGCCCGAGCCCGAAGCACTCAACCTGACCACCAGTACCAGCCCTAATCCAAACATATCCCCGCGCTCCTGCTTATTATGCTTTACAAGTCTCAAAGCAGCTACTTGTCAACCTCTCACACTGCTGCAGTCTTTATTACCTCCGGGTTGCCTCCGTACGCCGACTCGTTGCCAACACGCACCGTAGACCGCACTCCTAAATCCCGCCCCCCTGTCCCTCCCTCCCTCCCTCTTTCCCCCTGTACCTCACCTCACAAAGAGTCTCCCACTCGGTGCCGTGTTCCGCCGACTTGTCAACGGCACGGACCGCAATGACTGCACCCCCCTGCATGTGGCCATAATACACGGTACGTGAGGGTGGTGGGGTGAGGGGTCTTTGATTTGATGGAAGGGGGGAAGAGGGTAACGGGTCCATTTGGATGTGGCATCTGGGTTTTCCTCCCGCGCTTTGTAAAACCCACACGCACACACACATCCGTATATCGCTAATATCAGCTTCGATCGCCTGTGGTTTGTCTCCCCTCTTCCCCACCCCCCGACACACACACACATATTTGCGCGCGTGCGTGTGCGTGGGAGGGGGGGAGAAGGTTTGAGGGGCGGGGTACGGGGTCCCCGTACGGTGCGCGCCGGGACAATCGCTTTTTTGTCGTGATTTGACTGCTTGTCGTACAAGGATGTAATTGAGTTCCAATGAGGAAGACACGCGTCGTTGTTTATGTTCAGCACCACCTGAGCCGCCGGCCAATCTACCTTTTTCCCCCTCCCCCAACGACCTCCCCCTATTCCCGCACGTGGATGTGTTTTCTGTACATGTTATGTACGTGACCTCCCTCCCTTTTCCCCTTTCTTTTTTCCAATTGTATCCACTCATACATACATGCACACATTTCCCGCAGCCCATCCCGCCTGTGTGTCGGCGCTTCTCCGCGCCCACGCCTCCCCCTCCAAGCTATGTGACGGGGGGACTCCCCTCGCCCTGGCCACATGCCTGGGACTGAGCGCCTGCGAGGAGCGGGCAGCGGCGGGGATGGAGATTGTACGAGCGCTGCTGGCAGCAGGAGCAGATCCGTACGACAAGTACGTGCGCGCATGTATGTGCTTTAGTGATCAAACTCGCAGGCGGTGTATGTGTATACGGGTGTGCTGCGGGTTGGGGGAATCGCCAGGACCATAGCACATCGGGGGTTGTGTGTGTGGAGGGGAATTTCTAGGGGGACGGAGCAGTACCAAGAACGAAGAACAAGTGCCGACGTCCAAAGTTACGAACTGCTGCTGCTGCTGCTGCTGCTGCTGGAAGAGCCCGAGGACCAAAAAGGGGGGGAGATGAGCGCAATGAAACGCCGCAGACACACACGTGACACGATTTGGATTTGGGTTTGGGTTTAATCGTGCCTGGGGTTTTTGTGTGTGCCATGGCAAGGGGGATGTGGAGGGAGAACCACACAAAAGTTACAAGTTACCCTAAGTTCCGCACACAAGTGGGGGTGTGTCCGTAAAAGCCGGGGGGCCATGGACGTTGTATTGGTATTGATGCGGGTACGCGGGAGGTCATCCAAATGCAGGAAAACTGGCTTAACGGCCAATGAGAGTGGGGAATAATTCATGTGTCTGTATATGGGTAGAGGAAAATTACATGATGTGAAGTCGGAGGAGGAGGACGAGGAGGACAAGAAAAGAAGAAGCTGCTGCTACCGGGCGGTGGAAGGGGGAAACAGTGTATACACAGGGCAGAGGATCGGAAGGTTGGGGAGGGGGCGGAAGGAATCATGTGCTGAGAAGGTATTGAGAGAAGGACTGCCGGCGTCCGAGGTTTAGGGGGAAGGGGGGGACAGGGGGGGGAGACCTGGGCAGTGCTGAAGCCACACCATCAATGAGGTCCTGGACAGGCGAGGGGGGGTCACAAAGGAAAAGTTAGAGGGAATTTACAATAAAGAGGTCTAGGAGACACTTGTGTGTGTGTGTTTGTGTGTCTAAAAAGGCTTAGGGATCGGATGTAGGATGAGGAGGAGAAAGGGAAAATGTTGGGAATTGGGTGTATGTGTGTGTGTGTGTGTGTGTGTTTTACACCACCTGGAGTTACCGCGTTACCCACCGAAGGTGTAACCTGGGGCCCTGACGAGGAAGACCAAGCGCCAGTCAAGGGCTGTCCGAACTGGATAAAAATAGTGAATAAGAAAAACTGTTCCTATCCTATTTCACAACACGAGAGAAGGAAAGGAAAAGATGTAGGTTGCTTCCCCTCAAGCCTCAACGCTGGCATTCCTTCTCCCTTTCCCCTCCTTAGGCCATGTAATACCATGTTTAATGCAAGGCTTGCCCGGGCCCCGTGGTTGGCCTCCTCCCGACCTATCTACATGGCCTCGGTTTCATCTCCCGTGCCTCAACCATTCACCCTCAGTTTTTCATCATCTCCATTCTGTGTATATCTATATGTATATCCCCTCATCCCACTCCAAACAAACCCCAAACTTCTCTACGTACGTACATACATACAGGGACGACGGCGGTCGTACTCCCCTGCACTGGGCTGCCTGCTCCGGAAGAACCCACCTGTTGGCGTTACTCCTGGAGGGGGCGGCGGAGGTGCAGCGCTCCAGGGTGGCGGCCATGATGGCGGATGTGGCGGCGCTGGCGGCAGCGGACGAGGGAGGTGGCGGCGGCGGCGGCGGCGCCTCTCTTCCGGGGATGCTGCTGTCGGGAGTTGAACGGGCTGAGCACGTGTTGGCGGCGGCGGTGAGTTTGTTTATAACCCAAGTTACAAATTACGCACACGTTCTTCACACGTCACACGTTTATTTAGCTGCTGTTGTTGTCGCTGTCAGTGTTGCTTTTGTCGTGTCACACGACTCGTGTGTTGTAGTTGTTGGGCATGGTGTGTGAGAGCGTGTGGGCGTATCTGCGGGTGTGGTGGCGGGGGAGACTGTAGGGAGTTATGGTAAGTGTGTACCTGTCTGTGGATTTGAAACCAGCGTGCCGTAGTACCGCCACCGCGCGATGAACTAAAAGCCAAATAATGGCTCCGAAACCGCATTCTGCTGTTCAGGACCACGATGGCTTCACTCCGCTGCACCTGGCCGCCAAATTTGGTCACCCGGAAGTGGTGGCACAGCTGCTGACGGCAGCGGAGGAATCAGCCGCGGCGGCGGCGGCAACCGGGGAAGAGCTGGCGGCGGCGGCGGCAGCGAAAGCCGCCGCCGCCGCCCTGGCCGAAGGCAGCGGCAGCGAAACCGCCGCGGCGGCCGTACTGCCGCCGCTAAGTGCCGCTACGCTGGCGGCGTTGATACCGGTGGCGGACCCACTGCCGCTGCTTAAGGCCAAGACGAAGCAGGAGGGTCACACTGCGCTCCACCTGGCGGCGATGTACGGCAGGACTGCGGCGGCGGTAGCGCTGATGCGTGCGCTGGCGGCTGTGACGGCGTGCGGCGGGGCCCAAGTAATGGTGGCCGCGCTGACAGCGGCGGATAAGAAGGGGCGTACGGCAGCGGACTTGGCACGGCGGCGGGGACATCCAGTGAGTTTTCATGTGCCGTACGTGGTGTACGGGAAATGGTTTGTTGCTTGGGTTATTCGTGCAGCACCGCTGCTCCGCGGGTGATGTGGTCGTATCCACTGTAATGACCTCATCCATCCATCTATATCCATTTATACATTCATTCATTTGTGAGGAATGCATTTAAGAGCCCGATATATTCCCCCGCCCCCGCCGCCGAATCCTTTTAAGCCCTCCCTGCAAGGGGCTCCTGCTCCTACTCCCACTCGCTACTTGCATTTCGGTCTCCTGTCCTTATAGTCTTTAAGTGCCGCCGGGGCCCCCCTCCATCTCTACTCTATTGTAACCTTCTTACCTCCACCGGCCCTACTCGAAGGCCCTGGCGGACCTGCTGACGGAGGCGGCCGCCGCCAAGGCCGTACCGGATGCGGCGGCGGCCGTGCCAGCGATGACGACGATGACGCTAGGCGCCGACGGCGGAGCCGCGGCTGCTGACGGGCGCGGCTGTCGCCGTACACTCCTGCTGGCTCCGGCCGAGTGTTTGCTTCACCGTACGGCACCCGAACCAATTGAACGGTCGGATGCGGAGCCGCCGCCGGAGAACGTGAACCGTCTGCATGTTTTGACACAGCCAGGTGTGTGGGTTGTGTGTGTGTGGGGGGGGGGAGAATGAGGTGAGGTGGTGTGTGTGGGCGGGAGAATGAGGTTGTGGAGGGAGAGATGAGGTGAAGGGGCTTTCTATATTGAGCAGGGGGACTTATTAGCTAAATGATCTGAGCCACGGGCAGGAGGGGGGATTGTGGTACACGACAACATGAGTAGCTTCGTGCTGAAGCAAGAAGTAAAAGGTGCATGGGTGCGTGTGTGCATGGGTGATATAATACTTCTGGAGGGAAACTCGGCATGAGCACGAGCCGGCTCAGGACAGGCCTTCCTTGTCCTGAGAGTCATGTTCTTCCGTACTGTCGTACAGCGGATGACTCCCCGCAGCTCTGCAGTTTTTGTGACCCCTCCTCCAGGATCCATATTGGCAGAAAGGCCGGGGGGGGGGAGACGAACCACGAACGAGTGAAGCTGCTGCCAGGGCTGGTGGGGGTGGGAGGACGTTGGCATCGTCTTTAGACCTCCAGCCTCTTTTCAGGGCCCAGTTTCTCTCTTAACCCCTTTCTCTCTCTCCCCCTCCCCCCCTCAAAACCCACCCCCTTACCCCGCCTTGCGCCGGCCTCATTTCTCGCCTCATCCCCACTCCCCCCAGCCACGGGCATCCTGCACAATCTGGAGTTCTCCGACTTGGAATGGCGGACAAGCGGTATCCCGCAGGTGAATAGTATGGCGTGCGAATGTAGGAAATTGTACGACGGTGGCGCCCAGACCTTCTGTATGCTTCCACACGTCTCCCTCTAGTTCTCCCATCCCTCCTCTTCCCGCCACCCCGTCAACACCCCACACGCAAATATACGGCAACTTATGTGTCGCGACGTGCAGGCCGCTATGGTGGATGTGCTCCGATGCCACGACTGGTCGTACGTACGGCGAGTTATTCAGGTATGTATGTATGTCCTGCGTGCAAATGGAGTGAGAGGGACGGGTTGAGGCTGTAAAAGGTCGAGGGAGGGATGGCGCTGGTGCTGGTCAGGGGGTTTCGGAGCGAGAGGGGATCCCGCGGCAATGCCCGCAGCAGGTCACATGTAGGTGCGTATGTAGGTATGTGCACACGCGATGTATGGGCGGTGAGGGGTTTTAGGGTTGTAGGTGGAGGGCACGTCTTTCCGCTGCCTACAATAATGGCACACAATTTAGAATTTTCAAATCTCCCATTTACTTTCGTATTCGCGCTAATTATTAAGGTAAACATTTAGCCTCCGGCTTGTACGAGCCCGTTACGCCTTTTTCGAAGAGTAACGCAACTCCAAAAAGTGTAACACATACACACACATGTGGCGCACTTCCGTTCGTTCTCTGTCCGTTAAACACCCCCCTTTCCCCCCCCGAGGACTGCTTCTTCACAACCGCCGACTGGTCAGTTCTGCTACCGTCCTGTACATCCGCCGCAGCAGTCTTTCCTTGGCAGCAGCTTCACTCGCTCGTGGTTCGTCTTCATCCCCCTTCCCTCCCCTCCCCAATAAAAACATACATACATATGTACGTACGTACACACAAACACACACAGGCGTGTGAGGCCATAACCGATGTGCCCAGTTGTGTGGGTTTCCTGGACCATGACACGGCCATCAGCCACCACACAATGCGGGCGGCGCTGGTGGCGGCGGGGGCGGTGTGTACGGCAGTGGATGAGGTGGTGGCGGGGAAGGTGAGGACGGGGTCGGGGGGAGGCGACGCCGTTGGGGGGGTTGGAGGGGACGGGAGGGGAGTGGAAGGCGGGTTTGCGGAGGAAGATGGAGGTATGGGGGATTGTACGACGAAGCACAGGCGATGGACGAGGATAGAAAACCGTACAAGGGGGAAACCGTACAAGAGAGGGAAGGGAGGATGTCGGGGCGTCATATCCTGGAGCCGAGCTTCTTCTCCTTTGAGTAGGTTGCTCGGGGGGTGTTGCTTTTGGCTCCCTCCGCTGCCTCTTCCCCCCTCCTCCTAAGAGTCGCGAGAACTGCTTCATCACAATCTGCCTGGTTAGTTATGCCTTCGTTTGCATCTGCCGCAGCAGTCTTTCCTTGGCATCAACTTCATCCGCCAGTGGTTCGTCTTATCCCTCTCCCCCCCTTTTTTCCCCTTTCCCCCCTTCCCTCCCCGCCCCTTTCCCCCCTTCCCTCCCCGCTCCGTAAACAATCATAAGGCCCGTAACGCATTTTGTGCGGTTCGTCCCCCCGGCCACCACGCGGGTCCATGTGGTATCGTCACAAACCCCAATGACTCACACGGGTCGCACGGGTTTTGCATCCTGTCGAATGTGGCCATTGGAGGGGCTTATGCCATGGCCGTACACAGACACGCTGGTACGGAGGGCAGGGCGGTGTGTGCGTGTGTGTGTGTGTATTTGACGGAATGAGAACCTAGGGAGGTCGCCACCAAACAGGCATGAAGTGTGACATGAGGCATATCGGATGCTGAAGACGTGGCTGAGTTATTGGAGTTGGGAATGGCGTGGCGGCGGGGATTTGTGGGTTTTAGGAAGGCGGGAAGACCCGGACCCGGACATAAGGCCCGTGAACGAATGCGGGTGTCGTACCTGAACCGCCCCCAGTGTGCACGTCACTCCGAAAACCGAACCCCCTAGGCGGCAGTACCGTTATTGTCGTTGTTATTCTTATTGTTGTTCTGGTTGCATGTCGTTAGCTAACCGCTGGACTGCAGGACTTGACACCCAACCCTAAGTCGCACACCGTATCATGTGTGTTGCGCCATGCACGAGCGTGTATTACGTGTAATTGAAAGTGGCAGGAAGGAGGGAGGTGGAAGGAGAGTGCCCGCCGCAGGGGCATGAGGGAAACGGGGGAAAGCGCGTGTGTATGTATCTCTATGTGCATGCCTATGTATGTATGTGTGTGTGGTGTGTGTGTACATTCTTGCACGTAGTTGGCCGGTCGGAATATATATACATACATACATACATGCAGGGGGGGCCGCTGGTGAAGCTTAACCACCCTGTAACGACATACATACATATCGCGAACGCACGTGGACAACACAGAAACCCGCATTCATACATATATGTGCACACACATGCCTAATCGCTGCAGGAATACGGCGAGTAGCCATCGTGGATTTTGACGTACATCACGGCAACGGCACCCAGGTGGGTGGGCCGATGGCGGAGGGGCTTATGGGTGCAGGCGGCTAACGTATGTATGTTTACGTATGTCTGTATGTGTATGTCTGTACAATATATGCCTGTCTGTATATATGCCTGTATATGTGTATATATATGCATGTATGTGTTTATATGTCTGTCTATACGAGTGTATGCGTGTGTCAGAGAGAGCTTACGTGTATGTGTGTATGGGGGGGTTCAGAGAGGAGGCGTGCGTGTTGTGGGGTTCTGGGTTTGATCGGGCGGTACCGCCAGAACCGAGGGTTTCCTTAAATCATAATAATCCGCTTTGTCTGTCTGTATGCATGTAAGGTTTTTACTTCGTTGCGGTTTCGGAGCGTCCTCCGACTCGTGAAGGAAATGAATAGAAGTCTGTACCTCCGGGGTAGGTAGGTAGGTAGGTAGGTAGGTAGGTTCCCATCCGTTTCCTGCATCCTTTTTGTGTCTTCCCACCCTTCCGCTCCACTCCCTCCCCCTCTCCTCCAGCAGCTTCACTCGTTCGTGGTTCGTCTTTCCCCTTCCTCCCCTCCCCCGCCAACCACCCGCAATGCGCCCCCACGCTATCCTACCAAACACAGGCCTGCGTCCTCAACACCGTGCCTTCCATTCGTACATTATCGCTCCGTACGCCGTACAGCGACGGCCAGCAGCATTTCCCTGTCTACAAGCCCTGGTTGGGCGACAACGACGAGCACAACATCCTCTTCGCCAGGTACGTTTCTGTGAGCGCATCATCGCCGTTGTGGTTT